CCTGGCCGCCGCCTGCCCACCGCCTGCACCCAGATTGAATTCAGCTATGGTTTCACTGCTGTCACTCAGAAGAATGGTCTCATTCAGGCCACCTGCTCCCTTGCTGGACAGCTCACATCCCCCTCCTGCCTGGGCACAGAGGCCCAAGCCCCAGGCCACCCCGCCCTCCAGAGCCCTGTTCCCCCAGGCAGAGCTATCCAGTGGCTTCACCCAGCAGAACCGAGGCTGAGGGCCAGGGACTGGCCCAGGAAGCCCCCAGCAGCCTCTTGGTAGGAGCTATGCCCCTGGGTCCGGAAAGGAAAGGAGGCATGGACTGTTCCTATCAGGGACATAATCCCACATTCCTCAGAGGGCAGCCCCCTCCCCTGTGCTGTGGTGGGCGTGGACCTGGAGGTCCCGGAGGGCACAGTCCAGATGCAAGGTGGCAGGAGAGGGGCAGGCAGGGTCTGGAAGGGCCAGCGAGGGGTCTCCAGCAGGTCATGTCATGGCGGTGGGGGACCCACGATGTGGCCTCAGAGGGCGATGGAGGTGAGATGAAGGTGAGGACTGCGGACCTGGGGCTGGCTCCGAGTCAGGGGGCTGTGCCCAGAAGACTGGAGATGCAGGGCAGGGGGAGGATGAGGCCCTGCTGGGGACCTACTTAAGGAAGAGGCTGTGTGCAGGAGTGGGGTGGAGCCAGGCACCTGAGAAGATAGGGCTGGACAGGGCTTCCTGTGGTATCCCGGGCCTTCCAGCCTGGACACGGGAGGCACAGAAACCAGGGTGGGCTTGGGCCATACAGCAGCCTAGAGATGCCTGCCCAACAAAGGTGCCCAGTGTGGCTGGGAGATGGGGCTGCTCCCAGGGGTTTCTTCTTAGGTCCTCCTCCTCACATGGTCCTCCTCTTCCTCAGGTTCTCCTCCGCAGGGTCCTCCTCCTCCCCAGGGTCCTCCTCTTCCTCAGGTCCTCCTCCTCCCCAGGGTCCTCTTCCCCAGATCCTCCTCCCTAGGTCCTCCTTCACACATCCTCCTCCTCCCCAGGGTCCTCCTCTTTCCCAGATCCTCTTCCTCCCCAGGGTCCTCCTCCTCCCCAGGTCCTCCTCCCAGGTTCTCCTCCTCCCCAGGGTTCCCTCCTCACAGGTCCTCCTCCTCCCCAGGGTCCTCCTCCTCCCCCAAGTCCTCCTCCTCACAGGTCCTCCTCCTCCCCAGGGTCCTCCTCCTTCCCTGGTCCTCCTTCTCCCCAGGGTCCTCCTCCTCCCCAGGGTCCTCCTCTTCCCCGGGTCCTCCTCCTACCCAGGGTCCTCCTCTTCCCCAGGGTCCTCCTCCTCCCCAGAGTCCTCCTCCTCACAGGTCCTCCTCCTCCCCAGGGTCCTCCTCCTCCCCAGGGTCCTCCTCCTCCCCTGGTCCTCCTCCTCCCCAGGGTCCTCCTCCTCCCAGGGTCCTCCTCCTCCCAGGGTCCTCCTCTTCCCCAGGGTCCTCCTCTTCCCCAGGGTCCTCCTCCTCCCTGGGTCCTCCTCCTCCCCAGGGTCCTCCTCCTCCCCAGGTCCTTCCCCTACCCAGGGTCCTCCTCCTCCCAGGCACTCCTCCCCACAGTCCTCCTCCTCCCC